TGTTTTTGGATGCAGAAGGTCCCTCAGATAGCAGGTTCTCCTCTTTCGCAATCTTGAACAGGGGGTTTCCTTTCTGTCCATGGATCCAGTTCGCTCCAACTTCAGTGACATTCTCTGTGAAGGGTTTAGTGGTGTGCACTCGACCTCCAATTCTTTCCTTCGCCTCAAGAACCAGGACATGTTCAAATCCTGCCTTCACCAACGTAGCTGCAGCAGCCAACCCTGCAAAACCTGAACCTACAATTACAACTTTGGCATCTTCTGGTCCAGAACAAGAGCTCATTCTTGCTGCTTTGTTGAGCTGTTTAGAGAGAGAAAAGCTGAAAATGTATAAATGTAGCCGTAAGAACAAATAGCAACTCTCACAGAAAAACTTACACAGGTGATAAGAGAGTAGTGCACTATGCTCTAAAAGGTCTGTAAAATCTGACCTTTGTAGTCCATATAATATATGATTATTTACATAATCAGGCGGTCATGGGACATCCAATGGCAGACGAAGATTTACATTCTATAGCCTACACAGCATGACGTTTTGCACTTTTAAGATTGCATGATGATCAAACGATTTGCCACCCAATGAAGAAACACGCGTTTTTGTTTTTATACTTCTGCCTCAATAGTAGTGACAGTGTGAAGACAGCGACGTTAATAAATTTTTTTGTTGCAAAGCTAAACTTCAAAATAAATGTCTGTTTAGAAAAAAAAAAAAAAATTATTAAAACTAAATAGATTGTTAAAAAATGACACTTTGTCCTACCCCCAAACAAAACAAAACCAACTAAATAACTAAATAAAATACTCGTATAAAATAATATTCGAAATAAAACTAACTAACCAACTAACTAAATAAATAAAATACTTGTATAAAATAATATTCATACTTTTCTATCTTATTTTTATGTAATATGTAAATTCGCTGTACTGTTTATTTCTGTAGTGCTAAAGCTTTTATGAATGGGAGAACAATAGCCTACCTGTTTGAGATTTGTCACACGTACAAATCTGCCACAGGAATCTGCTTTTTAATGGAAAACTCAAAACGTAAGCCCTTTAAAAGACACTTGAAAAAATAGACTTTTTTAACAAGCATAAGAAAAAAAAATTTTCTGGATAAAATACAGATAACAAGAGAAAATGTTTTAGTGAACTACGTACTGATGGCGTTAGATGGCGCTTTTTGGTCACCTGTCCTGTGCGTCCTGAGGTAAAAGTGATTTCGCCCGAAATTCATGAACCGTTTATAAAATTCTTATATAATAGGCCTACTTCGAAAACCTCTAAACAACTATAACATCTCCAAACAGAAAAACCAACGAAAACGACAAATTAAACGAAAATAATACACCAAACACGCAGGACACCACAAAACAGGAAAATACACATCGTCTGTATGAACGCCATCTAAAGTTTGCTGCAGCCATTACAACCACCACAAAAAGTTGGTATTTGCACTTGTCTTTGCACTGTTTCTCACGAATATAGTTATTTATGGCTCATATATTAGTGATGCAAAGTCTGATTCATTTCCGCGAACCGGTTCTTTTCGGATAGATCGGCTCATTGAACCGGTTCAAAAAGCCGATTCATAGGTTCCTGACGTCATCAAGCAATAACGTCTCTACGCATTTCTTTTCTAACAACCCAATGCAATGTTATATCAATGAATCCTTTGTTACCCTGGCTTTGTATTGTTTTGTATATGTCGTTTAAAGCATAAAAAAAATATATATATATATATATTTTTTTTTTTCTCCAACAAAACTCAAAAAAAAAAAAAAATGTTATATCAATGAAAAATTCAAATAAGTCATTTGTGTCAACACATATTGAAACATTCAAAAAATAAAGTTATTTGTGTGAAAGCATATTGCTGATTATTGCCATATAATTCACTTAAGTTAATGGTGTTTGTGGTCACAGTTTCATTCGCTGATCCTTTATGTCAGATACGACTGACTGACCAATATTGACTAGCCTACAACTCGGATAAGATTCCTAAACGTTTCAAGTTGATGCACAAACGCGGATATATTCTACATGTCTACAGTATAAAGAATGAATAAACCAGTCTTATAAACTCCTTGATTTCGCTTAAGCAACTTTAAATATAATATGCATGCACAATAAACTATTGTAAAATTTATTTACATCACTCGACAGAAAGGTTTTTTTTAGGTTTTAATAAAATGTAAATTAATAACAGTCATAATAAACAAACATATTTCCAGTACGCGCCTCAGGCTTGCACAGTATCATCAACTCACTCATCAGAATCTTCGGTAATCCTCGGCAAACTTCGCAACGGCTCATTCGGTTCTTGTTGAGTCCTCGGTAATCCTCGGCAAACTTCGACAG